ATGTAATCACTACCAAAACTCGAGTCATTTAGAAGCACAATCGTCATAGGATACCGGATAAAACCGTTATTGTATGCAACACTAGCCAATAACTCCTAATGAATTATTTTACAAATAATTCTCGTTATTGGCTGCTTCGCATCCAATAACGGGAGATTTGTCTTCCGATATGTACCCGTTATTCATTGATTCAACCTGTGCCAAGTTAAAAAAAAATTGATATGATTATAAATATATAAATAAGCAAAATAATAAGGAAATTTTTGATTTTTTTAGAAAAGGATAACGAAAAAGAAATAGTACAATACTGCAAAATGTGACTAAAGTTGCATGAAGTATATTTACAATTGCGAACGTTACATAAGCACATTTTTGCACTCTTGAATCATGACTTATCATTTATAGTATAAAATGCATATTAGTATGAGTTGCCTTAAGTAAACTGTATGATTGCACTATAACTTTATTAACCTGAATTTGTAAAAACTATATGATAAAGCGATATCATTGTTTTTTTTAAAGAGGGTCAGGTGGTCAAGACTAAATGTGTTTGCAACTTGACAAAATTTTTTTTCAAATGATGCATAACATTTAGTCGCCAATATAATTGCGACTTAATTATAACAGATAACGTAGTTGCGACATTTCAATGTTATACGTACGAATTCCAGAAAAAAGAATAAAATAAGGTTATATTGAAATTGATAAATTATTCTATTTGAAGAATAATAATATCATTTATTCATCTATTTATTTCTTTGAATATCTATATATAAATATTATACCAAACTTTTAAAACTTTGAGCCTAAAAATAATCTTTTTTCCTAAAATTCTACGTAATTATTAAGTAATCAAGATCTATAATAATCGCAGCATTTTAAATCTGATATATATCCATTTAAAGATATATATATCTAAAACAATAATGTTAATAAAAAGGAATTTGGTCAAAATCCCGAAAAACGGATTCCCGAAAGAACATAATACCGACAAAGTTAGCCGGCACTAGCTATAATGCTGGCCAAATTGGTCGGTGTTATGTTTTTTCGATAATTTGTTGTTCGGGATTTTGACCCAAACCCTAATAAAAACTATATACGTACGTTGATTTATGTCGACGATAAAAATCTAATCCGTAGGATTTGCCGATCCTTTGACCAAATTTTTGGTCATGTTACTTAAATTTGTCCAAATTGCCGAAAATTTGACCAGAATTTAGAATATTGTGTTTACCATAAATTGCGTTGTTAAATTGTGCTTCCGATACGTAGCATAAAAATTTGGAAGTTTTAATCTAATAAGAAATATGCTTCCAATTCATCCAATAGTATTTCCAATAAGTTTGTACTTCCAATGTTCCAATTAATTACACTGATTAATATAGCATTGAAAGTCCAAATTTGGATTTTTAGAATTCTAAGATAAATAAATTCGGGCTTAAAATAAGCGAGATTTTCCGTGTAACACCTCTGGAAAGGTTTCACACCAATAATAAACATACGCCTGTGTGACTAAAATCACAATTGGTTATTACGAAGGAAATTACAAATCATGGGAGATTCTAAAAATGTTTTCCAATTTTACAAATTATTACTTCTTTTTATCTTTTTTCCTTTATTCATTGTCTCTAGAGGTTTCCAAAGTTTGTTTACACGAAGAAAACTAAAATACAAACCTACGCTTACTGATAAACAAAAATGCTGATAAGCCATTTCCATTTGAAATTGTTCACGAATAAAATAATAGTCAAAGTTTGGAAATAAAATAATAACGGATAGTGCCATAGTGTATACCGTAATTCCTTAATCTTTTTTTTTTATAAATTCACGTCTTGGAGCAGTTTAGCAGCAGTCTTATTCTCTCTTCTCTCTCTATTTCTTTTTTTTTAAAAAAAAATCAAATTTGTCTACGGGTAAATAGATTTTGATAAATTAACAATTTTGCATTTAAAATTAATCATTTGCAAACATAGAAAATGGCACCAAAAACCTATCCTAAACCCCAATCCCTTCTTGCGGCTGCTTTAACCGCGATTTCGGGATCCACCGTCATCCCGTATGACGAATATAAACGTCAAAAGGATAACCCTGATACGAGCTTTCACGAAGTTGACATTTATCAATCTCATATGCAGATTGGTCCAATCCCAGAATCTAATATTGTAAAACCTCCAGAAAGTAATTTTTTGAAAATACCTAATAATGATGTTAGAGAAATTTTTATTAAAACACCTTCTTCTAAAAAAAAAATTAGTATTAATATTCTACTTTCTTGCACTGTTAAAAGTTTAAAACAATTAATTTATACACGAGAAGGTATCCTTCCATCTGTGCAAGAACTTATATTTAATAAACAAATATTAAAGGATGAACTCACATTATCACAATACAATATTGAAGCTCAGTCGGTTATTCAAATGAATATTTTATTACGTGATGGTGGTAAATCCGTAGGATATATTAATTTCGAACATTTAGATCCAGGATATGATTATGATTTTACAAATATAACAGATACACAAAAATTTTATCGTGGAAATGAAGAATATACTAGACCATGTGGATGGAGACGAGTTAGTGTTAATGTTTTAAATAAATACGAATATAATAATACTTGGTTAGGTGTTAAAGGTAGAAAGACAATAAATGAATCTTTACCGAACGAATGGCCCGTATCGTTTCATGCTACTGGTAGCATTAATGGTAAGTCGATGGCAGATATGGGATATGATGTCATTAAAGGAAAGAATAAATTAAAAAAAAGATTTTTGTGCTTTTGTTGTTGTAAATTGAACAACAAAAAGAAAATTCAACTTGAATTTGAAAATGGAGTTTATACAACACCGAATGTTAAAATTGCAGAACAATTTGCTACTAGATTTAGTTATGAAGGAGAAAATTATTTAGTAATGTTTCAGAGTAGAGTTAATCCTAATACTTTGGTTAAAGCTGGTGAATACTGGATATTACCAAAAGTTGAAGACGTTAGAACGTATGGTATTTGTATAAAGAAAGATCCATATGGTGGAAAGTATTAGGTTTTAAGTGACGGAAAGTTTTAAGTGGTGGAAAGTTTTAGGTGGTGAAAAGTCTTAGGTGGCGAAAAGTTTAGGTGACGGAATTAGTAAACATTGCGCCATTTCACACAGTAAATACATATATTCTTATCACTCATTTTCATTTCATTTTATACCAATATGTTAATTACATTTCACAAAGCTTTTTTTTGTTTCATATAATCAATTACAAGAGTTGAGATTCGTGAAACTATTTCTATAATTAAAACATCTTTATAATTGTTGTATTTCTTTTTTATATAAACAAAGTATTTAACTGTTCTTTTAATAAAGAAAGTCGTTACTGTTGAATTTTCTACTTATAACCTCCTGGTCGCATACATGGATTGTAATAGATTGAGTTGTATGTCTTATTGAAGTAAATTTCTAGCAATTCTGTGTATTGGGTGTATTATTATAGGTGATACGTTACTATAGATGATAATCTGCCAAAGGAAACCCAAATTTACGGATTCAACCCACTAACCATAAAAAATCAGATCAAATAACGATAAATCCCGAATCTGGTTTTCCATTGAAAGCACTCATATGTATATATATACATACATTCATTCATTGTAAAAAGTAATGCTCGATTTTTCTTTATAAAATGGGACGTCACTTGTATGTGTTTTTTATATTTTTGCCGGATAAATTTGAAACAAGTTCTTATTGATAAAAGTTATCCTAAATTTTCAGATTTTTTTTCGATCTTTGATCTTGGGTAGGCTTTACCCCAAAATTAAAGTTCTAATACTTTTTCATTGGACGCTTCTATGTGCGTACTACACAAACATCATATGACACGTTACACGTACCCCTTGTATAAATTGAAAAACAATTACGCAAATCCAAATCAAAAAATAGACGAGTCTCTTCTTTTTTTTTACAACTTTTCAAAAAAATTTTTTTATTTTTTTATTTTTTATAAAACCTTCTTTCTTTATGTAACTGATTGGGCGTACACGGTAAGTTCACACAAATGATTTTACTATGATGTCATTTAAAGATTAAATAAATTTGTGGCTTTGCAATTTTTTTATCGTTATGAAAAAGCTGCACTCTGTATTTAAAGAACTGATATTAAAAGAAAATCATAATAAAATGTAATAATAATATATTAATAATAATATTTTATTATAAAGATAAAATTTAAAATACTCAAATTTAAATTAAATCTTACACCCCTGGTAGATTTTCTTGACATGGCACAACTTCCTGCAGATTGTTTGAACGAAATCTTTGAATATTTATCCCGTGATGGCAAATCCTTGATTTCATGTTTATTAGTAAATAGACTATGGTGTGAAATAGCTGTTCCAATAATTTGGAGAAATCCATGGTAGTTCTTTTTTAAGATTATGTAATTTTTTAATTTCATATATTTGTTTTTTTTTAATTTATTTATTTATGCTTAAAAAAAAAATAAAACCTATTTTTTTCCTTCTTTGATTTTTCTTTATAGGAGATTTGGAAAATCTTTTGTGCAATCTGTTCTATTATGTCATATAGCTTCCCTTCCTGAAGTTTCAATGGATTTGTTGAATGAATGTCGAGCTAAATTAAACAAAGAACGATTAGTGGCTCCTCCTCTTTTATTCGATTATGTTAGATATACTAGAATATTAACTCCTTTCGAAATAGAAATGATCGGTTCTGCAATGGCTTGGACTATTGAAAATGATGAAATACATGCTCAATATGTCAAGATTTTGATTGAACAAGAACTTTACAAAATGTTTATTAACAAATGTCCAAATCTTAAACAACTTCATTTACCTGAAATTCCTATTTGGTATTTTCCTGGTGCAAATATTTGTTTTGATAAACTTCAAAGACTTGATTGTTATCATGACGTTCCTTCAAGAAGTTATTTTGAACTTGCTCAAGTTTGTAGAAATCTTAAAAGATTAATTATTAGAAAATTTGATGTTCAAAATTTTGGTTTGGCTTCTTTAATTCAAAATCAACACGCTTTACAACATATTGAACTCACTTCTGATGATATCGATATTCAACATATTGGTGATGCTTTATCTTCTCAAGCTGATTCTTTATTACATGTTTATTTTCATGGAAAATTATGTATTCCTGCTGAATCTTTGGCTAAATTAGTTAATTTACGTTCTTTAAAACTTAATTTGGTTGAAGAAGTTAAAGATAGGAAATCTTTTGAATCCGTTTACTTTCCTTACCTTGAAGTTTTTGATGTTGACGATTTTTTCACTCCATTTTCTGTTTACACAAATTTAATTTCAAAAGCTTCTAATCTTACGAGAATACATTGGGGTACTTTAACTCGTGCTACTGTTAAAGAATTAAAAGATTATATTCAAGTTATTTCTCGTTGTCAAAATCTTACTTTTGTCACTTTATGGTATCATGATTCAATATTAGATCTTCTTGATCAAATGTTTTTGAATTGTTCTCGATTAGAAGGTATAAGATTTGTTACTGATACCGTAGTTTGGGCTGAAAAATTATTTGATCTATTACCTAATAAGGCTCCAAGATCTTTAAAAATTTTAAATTTAGGTGGTGGTGAATATTATGATAGTGATTACGCTGATTGGGAATTTACTACTGAAGTATTGGATAATTTTCTTCAAACTTGGAAACTTATGAAAAGAAAACCTTTATCTATTTATATTAATCCGGAATCGGAAATTTCTTATAATTGTATTAGGATTATTGATAAGTATATTGAAGAAGGTGTATTGAAAACTTATAAATATGTAGATTTCTTTGATGAAATGGAATGTATTAGAGAATCTTGGGATGCTGGAATAAATTATCGGTTCAATTGATTGATCTGGTGTTTTTTTTTTTTCCCTTCAATTATCGATAATTGACATTCCTTGATTATTTTTAAACGATAAGTTATTTTCTCATCTCATTTTTCATTTATGTATAATTTTCCATAAATTCGATGTGTATTTGTGAAATTTTTTATATGTACAATGATAATTTTACTAAAATAGATATTTCTTTTTCGCAAATTACATTCATTATATTTGTATAGAAATCTTTTTTATATACATTTTTTCCAAAATAAAGAATTGGAAATTAAATAATTACAATGTTTCATATTTTATTAAAAAAAATATGTAAACAGTATATAACTTACATTATTTTTTACTGTACAGTACGTACGTACTTTATAAATTTCTCTGTTCTATAGATTCTCAGGTATGATACTTTTAAAAAATTCATATTACAGCTGTTTTCGCAAATTCCGAGACAACTGAAAAATTTTTGAAAACCTGAACCAATAAATCACCGTGTCACTAAGTAATTTATTTCTGCTGAATTCAGAAAATTACGATTCGGTCATCAGCTATTTTTTCAGTTGTCCAAAGTTTATGAATTTTTTTTATAATCGTTCTTTTGAGAATTAACGTTAAACATTACCGTTACGTTAATATTTAACCATTCATCGATTTTGAACCGAGCTGGTAATGTTTTAGTAGAGATGGCATGTGATTTAAATCACGATGATATAAATCACTGATTTCTATTTTAAATCAATTTAAAGCAGATTTAAATCATTTAGTATGTGTTTTAGTAACCTTGTAGGACACTATATCATGTAAACATCGGAGATTCTGTGGATTTGAAAACCGCATTCAAAGTCAGAATTTGAATATAAAATAATTTGATTACGTAATAAGAACGAATGATTTAAATCATTTGTAAATCATTTTTAAATCAAAAAAATCGATTTAAATCATGATTTCTGCCATCCCTACGTTTTAGCTTCCCGGTTTTATGACCAGTTTAAATTATTCATGGGAAAAATTCAATTGTATGTGTTCAGTGTAACGTTTAAAACGGTTGGTTTTCATGATGATCCAAATAAATAACACTAACGTTAACGTTAATAATGAAAAAAATTTAAAAATTTGAACAAAGATATCTTGGCAACTTCCTAGTCAGGCTTAATGAAATTTTTTTTTATTTTGATTCTATAATATTAGAATCCAAATAAAAACATTTTTATTGAACTTAGTTATGTGGTTGCCGAGTTATCTTCGTTCAAATTTTATCATCAATTTCATATGCCCAATAAATTTGTAAATCCAGCACATGATCTAGATCTAGACGCGAATTGGCGCAATGAAATTAACCAATCGGAAACCGGAAATTTTCAAACGCGAATTTTAAGATGTTTAAGTTTTGTTGGTTACATTACATTTACTCCTGAAATATTGAGGCTTAATTTTTTGGAGTTTTAAATGGAGTGCAAGCAATTTCAAAAGAGTAGATTTTGGAAGTAAAGATAATGAATGTCTTGCTTATAAAATAAGTCTGGAAACCACTAATAATAAACCAGAGATACAGAGATGTTAGAAAATTTTAAGGTCAAGAAACTTTGTTTCGATATTTTTGTTATGTGACATCATGAAGGATGTGCCGATCAAAGTGTTAGGATGCGTCTGAAAGTCTAATGGATGAGTCTTGTGGGTTGCACCTGTGATACAATAGCCCTTCGTGATTTTCTTTTATTATTAACTTTGCCAAAAGTGCTAGGATGAGTCTGAAAGCCCAATGGATGTCTTACAGGCTGCACTTTATTGATGCGCTTGGATGCGTCTGAGTTGCATCAGGCACTTCATTATTGTTATACAGGAAGAAGTTAATCGGTTAAAGTCAAAAATTTCCTGGGATAATTGTTCACTTAAATTTCACTGACAAAGGCGATAAATTTAAATTCTACAAGAATGGTGTTCGAGTCTTAGCTTCATGAAGATTTATTTATACAGAAACCGACGAATCAGAAAATAGTCATTTTTTTAAATAATGATGATTCGCGAGATTAACAGAAAAAAAACTCTGGTCTAGGTAAATAGCCTTAAGGAACGTAACAATATTTGAGGAGGATTCACCTAGGGATGTTAATCGGTCCCGCAGTAATTGTCAGCCGACTTTGAGCAAGATTTATAAAAAATTGACATTTTTAACC